AAAAAAAGGCGAAGCTGAAACATATTGACTTGGGTGATATAGAATGACCTTATAGCAACCAAAAGTTCATCATCTGAATGATATAATGTACTGATGCAAGCTTGCTGGGGCATGCCATTCTTGTTGAATGCTCTTTTTTTTACTCAGAAAAATTTAATCTAGTGCACTGGTTCTGTGGAACAGCAAACACTACGTAATCTTTTGTGTAAAATACATTGCATGATTGTTAGGAGGAGTTGGTTTGATTTTTCAATTCGGAGTTACTTTGAAATAGGTTCTCAATGAAGGAATGCCTATTTATTTGGGGCGTGTATATTCTTCATGTGCTTGTCAATAGGTTCTCAATGAAGGAATGCCTATTTATTTGGGGCGTGTATATTCTTCATGTGCTTGTCAACTTCTTAAAGTACATGTGAGTTGTGACATAGAAACATTAGTGCATGCTTGCCGTGAATAAGGTATAGTCTTGAAGTTAGGCACCCATTTAATACTGAAGTGTTCGTGAGCGAACAAGTGTACTATTCTGGTGATATGATCCACCATAGTGAGTTTTTAAACTTTCGCTTGCTGATCAGTGTGTGCAGAAGAATATGTTAGTTGTTTCATGTGCAGTAAATATAATACTCCAAGACACAGTATTTGAAGATTGACGTTACAACATTCTCCTTCTTTCTTGCATCTTCCAACTCTTATGTATCGTTTTTATGTTTCCATTTTCACAGGCTGCAAATTACCTGAATATCAAGAGTCTTCTGGACCTGACCTGCCAAACTGTTGCTGATATGATCAAAGGAAAGACCCCTGAGGAGATTCGCAAGACATTCAACATCAAGAATGACTTCACACCCGAAGAGGAAGAGGAAGTCCGGAGAGAAAATCAGTGGGCCTTCGAATAGAACTGTTGTTGAACTGAATTATCTTTTGGTTAAGTTCTTTCAGTGGTGGCTGAAACACTAATTATCCAGACTTCTTTGTGTTTGTGTGTTTTGAGGATTGCTTTATGCTGAACTGGTTTTTTACCTTCACGGATATTTTGCCCTTCTGTTCATGTGTTTCCTTCTGGAAGGATTATCCACGATGTTGTGAAGAATCATATTACCTATTTAATTATTGGTGCTCAGTGCCTTATTTGCTTTTGCTTCTTTGCCTTTCTACAACGTGAGGTATTGTTCTGGCCTGGTTGGATATGAAGAGTATTGTTAACACACAGGCACTGAAACAAGATCAGAATACGTGTTTTTTTATTAGGATTAGTTGTTACCCTCATGGATCTCTTGCAACACATACCCTCTTTCTTCCTTTGACATGCATTTCTAAGGGGAAATTTCATCTCTATTGTACAATATTAAAATATTTGTAAACATGTCATAGTCAAATTTTTTATTGCATCCCTACCACTTACATGGCAATTAATTGAAAAAATCCTAAGGTTTCAGTTACCAAAAACTGAAATACAGCGATCCTTGATTTGTGGAGGATGGAGNTCTTAATACCATATATTAAACGTATATGTTCTGTTTCTCTCTTTTTTTTTTGTGTTATTACATCTCGTGTTTTTTGTATATACATAATATATACAGAATATATGTAGAAGATATACAGAAAACATATAAGTCCAAAAAATATACGAAATAACCTGGTAATTTTATCTTTTCAAATTTTTTTTTGTTTCACGATCAAACTTATATACAGAAAATATACCCATTATATACTCAACATATACATATGATATATTCACTGATTATAAACGAAACATATACTAAATAACAGTATATTTGTCGGGAATATATACAGAAGATATACTAATTGTATACATAGGACATAAAAGAATATTTACAACAAATATACAGAAGATAAATCATTCTTGTCATTATACACAGAATATATACAGAAAATATACAAAAGACGCATTAGGGGCTAGGTCTAATTTTGAATCAGATCTCGTTCTCATCAATGCGCATATACATACATATACATATACATACAATTAATCCTTCCTGGCTTCATGTCCATTTTCCTCATTCTCATCTTCTCTTAAATTCTGTCATCTCAAATAGCTATATGAGGAAAAGAAATTGTTAAATAAACATGTAATATTAAACTAAATGATATTCATTAGCCCAGAAATTAATTCATTGATAAATAAATAAATAACAATTTTAAAATAAAACTAAAATAAAAGGTCTTTAAGAGCGCTTTAAATTCTTTCTCAGCCAATTAACGTTATTGAAGAACCCCACCAAATCCTGCTTTTACGGTAAGTACGACCGCCGCTTCTCGCCGCCATCCCGATTGTACGGCGCCGCCAGTTACGGAGCCACAAGAGGCCACGGGTCCCCCTCATTTTTTTTTAAAAGTCTATATATATATAAAGAAAATCCTATAAAATATGTAGAAAAATGTAAAAAAATATTTAAAATATATCAATAATTAATAGATGTTCAATTTAAATCAAATTTTCAAGCAAAAAAACTTATCTTTTCACAAATTATAGATGTTGAACTTAAATTATAAATACAAAAAATTTCATTCTTTATTTTTTTTTTTTAAGTTTGAGAGTGATACAGATTCTAAATATTTAAAATCTTGATGGTAAACATACCGATATTTTAGTAAGTAGTCATTTTACATGAAATGAGTGTTTTGACTTAAACTACAAGTTCGTTATTTAACATTTAAAATTGGCCCCCCTGAGTGAAATTCCTAGATCTGTCACTGGCGGCCGCGGCGCCGGAATCACATCACAGCCACCTGCCGATGTTTCTCTAACTACCTTCGTTTCGTCAGTCAAAAGGACGATACTACCCTTGATCCCCTTGTTCTGGCTCCTCTGCACGAGATCCTTCACCTTGAACCTCCACCGCTTCGAATTCCCGCCGGCGAAGACGCTTTTCTTACTCGTGCTCCGCCGCCGCCTTCGGCTGCCACTGATAGTAAAGGAAAAAACTTCCATTAACAATAACTTGGATACCATATGAAGAAAACTCGATCTCCGATTTTGGGGTTAATGAGGTGGGAAAGAAATCTCTTACCATATTCTTCGGGGGTGATTTTTTGGTAACTTATAGGTTTCTTTAATTAATGAATAAATTATTGTGAATAAGTTTTGTGATATATCTGCAAATAAAATCTTAATTTATGATTATATTGCTATTATTTACATAAGATGTTTAATTATACAATATAAATTGAAATGTAACGTGGAGGGGGTAATTTTCTTATTTTATTGTAGGGCTTCATTTTTGGGTATTGTGCCATAATAGTGTCTAAATTTTTAACTGTTTCAATTGAGGGTCTCACTTTTAAGATATTCTCAATATAAGACGTACTTTTATATTCTATTTTTCAATTTAAGACTCCAAAATCACTTTGTATTTTGACATAATTATACAAACGACAATACTTTTTTTTTAGAAAAATTTACTTTTTAAGTACTTGAATAATATTAAATATCTTAGTAAAATTACCTAATAAGATAATTATTTCATAATTTACATTTATGCAAAAGTTTAATAAAATTTATTTTAAAAGTTATAAAATAAATTTTAATTTAATTTTAATCTAAATATGTGATAACATTAAAAAATAAATTGTTCAGAATTTTCTTTTAAAATAAAATTACAGAAAATATTGTTTGTGAATAAATTTATATTTTTGAAAAAGTTCAGAATTAAAAAATTAATACATATAATAAAAGTATTAAATATATTTGTAAAACAAGCTTCGTAAGAAAAATAATTCAAATAAATTACATTTATGAAAAATTAATTTAGCTCAAATGAATTAATTTTTTTTACTAAAGTAATTTTACTAAAGATATTTATAATTATTTAAAATATAAATTTCAAATAATAGTATTTTGGTTTATATATTTATGTAACATATAAAGTTAGTTGGTGTCTAAATCTAGAATGTAAAGTAGGCCTTTAGTTTTAAAAAAAAAATTAAAATTGAAACACTCAAATGAAAAAATTAAAAATGCAGACCGTATTGGGACACAATAACAAAAAGTCAAGTCTTACAATACAATTTACCCCATTTATAGGTGCGGCCATTATGCAAGTACTGTGGAGCTCACCAAAATACCTCCGCGAGTAGGGTCATTGACCTCAAGCTGTAGTCTACTAGTGAGCTAGCTACCTTGGGTCAACTTCGCCTGAACATTTTGTGTAGCACCCGCTTACTTATCTTTAGAAAACGCTAATTTTTCATAAATAATTTGAACTTTTCAACTTTAAGGGGGATGTATTCGTTTGAGATTTCGAGTGACATTTAGAGACTTTTTAAAATTTGAGATTTTTTTAGATTTTTGGATTTTGGAGGATTCCTGTGAAATCTTAAGTATGGAGGTGGGATTTGAAGTGAGATTTCGTATATGTTTTTTGCTATAAAAATCTCATCAAATCTTAAAAAGTCTTAGCAAATCCTAGTCCCATATAAGTTAAATACCTCAGCATTTTGTAGGATTTTTTAAAAATCCCAAATGAGCACCTCAAGACTTTTAAAATTTTTGAGTAGTCTAAATTAAATACACCAGAATTTCTAAAGTTTCAAAAAGTCTTTAGAAATCCCAACTGAACAGAATTTCACCAAAATTTGAAAATCATAAAAAGTATCAAATCCAAAAAATTCTAAAAAAATTTGTAGTGGGATTTCGTATAAGGTTTTTTTTTTTTTTTTTTTGAAATCCCAGCAAATCTTAAAAAGTCTTAACAAATTCAAGTCTCAACTTAAGTTAAATACTTTAGGATTTTGTATGACTTTTTAATATCTGATATGCGATAAATCTTGTATTATTTTGTGGTTTAATTTATATATCTGATAGTCGATTTTAGTGTATTATACAAGATTTTTCACATATTTTATCTTGTGAATGGACATACATCAATACTCGTATTTTGTGTTTATTTTGCAGTTTTAATGCTTATTAATGATGTGGCATGGATGAGGTGGCAGTGGAGTAGGAAATGATGTGGAATTAATAATCTCATCTACGTGGACTTGTACGAGAGAGTTGCTGGAGGGAGATAACTATCAATTTTGTTGGGCTCTCATTTGATTGGCTGACTTGGCAAAAGGAATTGTGATTGCACCAAGAAGACTTAATAGAATTGGAATTGGGTTGGACTTTAGAGTTTTTTCACATGGGTGGATTACTTGAGTAGAGATAGGAATAACATTTTTTATATTATTTTCCATTCATCCTGCTGCAAAACTTTTGGGACGGAAGTGGAGAAAGGCCGTAAAGAACAATTGTGGCTGCTAAGCATTAATTTGGCCGTGATTATTGTGTTCTTAAGGGAGTTTGGGTTTATTTATTTGTTTTACTTTATTTTGTTTTAAAACCATGACTTATTATTTTTGTTTTTATTATTTAGCTATGTGTAGCTAAATACTTATTTCGGTTCTAGGGACGTTGAACCCTCGATGACTATGTTTGATTAATGCTATTTATTTCGTTTTACTCGTCGTATAAAATTGTTTGTGTTATTCTAGTTTCATGTCATAATGTGTGATTTTTAATTTAGCTTGATCATCTAAGTTAGGAATTGCATGTTAATTGCTAGATTTGAGGCTTCGATCCGTAATTGTCGTCGCTCTTATTTCGTTTGTAGCAACTAACAGTCGTGCATTGTTAGGGATAGCACAACATAAATTACATGAACCGAGCTTATGTGTTTGTGGCTTAGATCGGTCTATTTTCCTAGATTTTAATGCGACTAGTGGGTTAAATTAGGAGAGCTTATTCCGAGTTATTCGCTAGTTAGAATTAATTGAAGAGCCTATTTCGATTAAGTATAAATTAAGGGAAAATTCGGGTAGCAGAGCTTATTGCTATCTAGGACCGGTAGTTTTAGAAGACGAGTGAAATTTGATAAAAGCATTAATTGGGCTAGTTATTCGAGGGTGTAGACTGACTTGGAACCGATTCCATTCTCATCTTTGCTAGATTATTTTTATTTATTTTCCATTTCATCATCATTTGCATTTTAGTCATTTATTTCTAGTTTCTAGTTTAATTTCTCTTTTTGTTAGTAGTTTCGTTTCTAATCAAACCCCCCATTTTTATTTTAATCTAATTAATATAATAAAATCACGGTTTATACCACACTCCCTGTGGGATCGACCCTTGCTCGCCACTACTACTAGTTAGTAGAGGTTTGTTAAGGAAAAATTATAAATTTAAATTTGACGTGTTGCGACACGCGGTCAATTTTTGGCGCCGTTGCCGGGGAGTGGCGCGATATAAATAGTGATTTTATTTGTGTTAGTATTTTTTTTGTGTGAATTTTCGTTCTTCACTTGAATTTTTGGTGTGAATTTTCGCTGCTGTTCTGTTATCGCCCCCGGTGATAACAGA